ATGGGAAATTATTATAGACAGAAATTGTAGGTAGAAAATGCACACTGAAATTAGCTCCTTTATACTTTTATTTGTTCAGATAGTTTATACACACAAGGTGCATAAACTGTGACCAGTAACTGGTATGAATACACATCAGTTTTCATTATGTACAGTTACCTATTAAAATCTGCAATCATTCTCTCCCTTCCTTACAGAGATTGTTCTCTTTTGGCAAAGTTTTCTGAATGTTAAATATGGGCAGTTACATACTGTGTCCATCAGCACTGTAATGCCTGATATCTGATTCACTGATCAAAGACTATTCTAAGTTTGCTACCTGTGTACAGCAATGACTGAAGTGAAGAGTCTGGGACTGCCAGGAACAACATTGGTGAATATGAACTCAAACCGGGTGTTGTTACATTTAGTCAGTATATACAGAGCTTCTGTCTGCCCTCGTAATTTCTGTGAGGAAAAAAAAATAAAATTTTACATTTTGTCCATATAGTAGCTCAACTGTACAAGCAATAAATAATCCTCAGATATTTTCTAAATTTTGTTTTAAATAGTGTATATTCAGGTCTAATCCTGATTCTACCATTGATCTACTGCTGTCTTCAACAGAGCTCAGGTTTTTTTTGAGAAACTAGCAGTTCCACCAATGCTAGGACTAATGAAGTCCTGCTATGCATTTGCAATATCATGACTGAAACAGTATTTTTGGTTTTGTTATCATGTGGCTGCCTAGGGAATCTACATAATCTCCCTGCTGGTCTTGCAGCAAGCCAAACAAATAGTTTTGCAGGTTGTGTATTTGAGAGCTTTCTTGCACAAAATTAGTGCCACTATAGACCTTTGCTAAATTTAGACAAAATAAGCCAACATGTGCTTGACTTATCCAGAGGGAAGAATCATCAGTGTGATTACATGAGTTTTACTCCCTCAGAAAAAACTAAACCACCCTCCTATAGAAAGGTGAAACTCTCAACTTTTAAAAGTCAACTTTCATTACTATTCTGTTACTGTTAGTGCAAGTAAACTTTCAGATTATTGTTGATATACTGCAGTAAGTATAAATAACTAATTACAGCTTGTTTTATTTTTTTAAAAAGTATTTTTTGAAACTTACTGAGTTGGCAGTTCTTGTTGTTATATTTATAACGCAGTTGTAACCGACAGCTTAAAAGTTAGGGGAGAAAAAAACAATTGTTTTGAGAACAAGAAAAATAATAGTCAAAATTACGAAATACAATACTGAATTCTGCAGAACAGCTTTGGTTGCTATTTGTGAGAATTACACCTTGTGGTTGATGGTCTGGGCCCTTATTACAAAACTGAAGACTAATGTAAGCTGGAAAGGACCTTGGGAGGTTATCCAGTCAAAAGCAGGACCAACTCTGTCTGGCTCCTTAGGGTACTGCCTAATCAAGTTTTGACTATTTCCAAAGAAAACGATTCCACACTGAGCACTGGAAATAATTTAGGTACAAAGTAGTTGCATCCTGTCCCTGTTTCAGCACATTAAATTAAATACAAGTAGACTCACTAGCTACTCATACAGTTAAAATTCAGAGCTTACAACAGTAAAATTGGAAAGGCTGGTACTTGTGGGGAATAAATAAGAAAATACAGAATGTGAATAAACAGGTGCCAACAAGAGCTACAAGTAAAGCAACATGTCAAGAAACTCAAACTCTTGGTTCTTTCTAGAAAAACAAATACCACATAGACCAAATGAAAAATATGTCTGAATTACTCTTCAACTTCTGTTCTGAGAAATTAACATTGAATATTGAATATTACTATTTTGCTATGAATTATTATCTCAGTTCCTATGTTATAAATAAATTAATTAGTAACAGTTTATTTCAGACTTTAGAGAGCAACAGAGTGCTTCACTTTTTTACTTTACTATTCTGTACTGGAATCAATATTTTGTGAAGGAATAGCATGCCACCACAAAGGAAACCAGAGATGATACTCACAGAGATTGACTCTGGGCAAGGACAAGGAGCGCCATATGATCCGCAAATTTGTCACAAGCAGTTTACCTGGAGATAAAGGGTGGAGACATTTTAAAATCTGAGTAACTTCTATTAAATTAAATGTTCTGTGAGATATATTTACCTCTAGCTTTGAAACACCAGGATACTCCTTCCCCTTGATAGGAAAAAGAAGAAAAGCACAGAACAACCCACCAGAAAAATCACTAAACACTTTTTTTTTTTTAAATGCTAGGAGAGAAAATCCATCAAGGAACAAATGAAACAACCTCTAATATATACCAATATTCCTCAAAACCAACCCAAGAACAGTTACTGATTTCAATCTACACTCTTATAGTAAAAATGCAGACACACTCAGTGCAGAATTGCTCTGGGGAAGAGAAGGGGAAGGCAGTGAGTTAACTATCACAGCTGCCTTCATGAATAACCTCACCCCTTTATATCATATGCAAATTTACTCCACTCTGTACCCTGTGGAGCAGCACATCCAACCTAGGAAGGGTCATCTCAGCACACTGGCAGCTTTGTGCCCTTGCCCACTACATATTCCTTACTGATTCAGTTTAACCCTGGGAGGGGAAAATTAAGCCTTAAAGAGGATTACAGCAGAAGATCACCACACTGTTTATGGATTATTCTTACAAGGCTTTCAATTCTAAGGAAATTCTGAGACAAGATTATCATCTTCCTATAACTCTGAACAAGAAATCCTATCTGAAAACACTCCAAGACAGATCTGTGCAACAGAGCTTTGATACTGAGTTCAGTGGAAACCTGACAGGCTTCCATGAACCTGCACATGTTAAAAAGTAGAAAGTTTACAATTTCCCTGAGTTTGGAGTTACCTCTGTCTCCATTGTTTCCTTTGGTATCTTCAACAGACTCTAAGCAGTCTATAAGGACCTCTCCAGGTCTCATTTTCATTTGTCTAAAAGAGAAAAAAGAAATTACCTGATGGAAAATAATCCTCCAAAAATAAGGCTATTTCTATTTCCCTACTTCACTTTCTCTGTTTTCTGCTCAGTGCATCATGCAATGAAAAATCCAGGTATGCACAAATACACACAAATCGACTTTATATACTTGCAATGATCATTACATCTCACAGATGAAAAACAGTAATACCTCTACTATTAAATTATAACAGTACATAAATAATTACATAGCAAGTGTGACCAAGCAAAATATGCCCTAAAATAGCGAGAAGGTGTGTGGAAGTGGGAAAGCAAAAAAAAAAAAAACAACTTGCATTCACAGATCTTTTAGATAATAGAGCTTGTTACCTCCTGACGTACTTTTAGGTCATAAGGAGTGGAACTAGGCTCATGAAATAATAGATGCCAGCAAAAGAAAGATTTATAAGGACATGTGAAATGCTCAGAATTTTCCACATAGGATGAGGTTCGATTTTTTTGGTTTTTTGTTTTGGTTTTTTTGTGGAATTTTTTTGTTTGTAGTTTATATTATTACTATTTTGCTTTATTTAACTGGTCTAACCACTTAATTAAATAACAACAGATGTAGTGTAAATTTCTTCTGTATTTTTATCGTATTGTGAAAAACAACCAAAACTCTTCAGTTTGACTGCAGGGCAGAAACGAAATGTGTTATTAGGAGGGGAATTTCGTGAGATACTGCAGAGCCAGCGCCCCATTCCCTGAGTTCAGGATGCCAACGCCACGGCAGGGACATCGAGTCCTGGTAACCAGCGAGCGCCACCGTTCCCTCAGACACATCCACTCGCTTCGAGTCTACTTCCCAGTGCCAGAAAAGCTCGGCTGGGAAAAGCACACCGTTCCCTCAGTCCGAACTTCTGGTTTGTTTGTTTTCTTTGTACACATTGGAAACGGTGACCAGTTCCCACCTCCCAAACTCCCTGGCCGGCCGCTCCGAACGCCCGCCAACGCGCGCGCCCCCCCGCGCCGCCACACGGAGGCAGCTCATCGCCAGGGCATCACGCGGGCCCCACAGAAGTGGCAGGGCGCCTCAACCCGAGGGCACCCGTTGATTGACTGGCCCCGCGGGCGGGCCCGAGGAGCATACGCGGCTGGGCGGGCAGGAACGGGCCGAGGGATGGGCCGGGCCGGGCCGGGCCACGTCACTTGCGGGCGGAAAGATGATCGAAGGCGAAACATCCCTAGTCAATCTCCACAGCTACGTCCAGCACGCCCGCTCATAGGCCCGCCGCGCGCGCCAAACCCATGAAAGCCAACGCGACTGCCCGGCAAACGGAGGCGGAGGGTGGGGGGTGGTTTGTGTCTTCGCAAGCCCCACGCCGGCGGCCGGGATTGAGCTAACAGCGCGCCGCACGTGGGAAGCGCGAGCGTCTCTTGTAACACTGGGCAGCTTCTGCACCCGGCCTCCGCCCCCTTCGGCCCCGCCCCTGTCCCTGCTGAGGCGCTAAAACCTAAATCGCGTGAAGTCCTTGCGTCGTTGGCAAAGTACAGCCTTGGGGGTGTGAGTTTGGTGGTTTTGGTTTAATTTTAAAACAGATGGGATGCGTCGTTTTTAATTTGGAGCGACTTGAGAATTGTATGTAGCCAATTTTAATTGCAGTACCCTACCACTTCAAAATAAACAAATTGCTCGAAATAAGTACGAATTGTAGGAAGAAACTCATCCTTTTGACAGTTCTTTCCCTGGAGCTGGTCCCTGGGTTGGTGAGGAGTCCATTGCACCCATCTGGAAGCTGACACAAACTGGATGAAGTGAAGTGAGTAACAGGTGGGAAGCGCCTGTGCCCTTGCGTGGCCCTGCCGGGACACGGACCAAGGGCTCTGGAAGCAGAAAGGATGGAGAGGGTTTGGCTTGAGGCCAAGCTCCATTTTCGTTGATATGTTTGACGTTACCATTTGCTCAGTGAAAAAGAGAAAAACACAAACCCAACCAAAAGTGATCATCGAGTTTCATATGCAGGAATGCCTAACCTGGGCTGTTGGGGCTTGTTAGGGGCTGTGGCAGAAATCCATTGTCAGAAGCACGAGAAGGTAAGTGCAATGTAATTCAGCTAGGTTAAGTTTTTAGTCCTGTAAAGATACCATTATCCATTTTCTCTCCTGGCAGTAAAACGAGAAATGTTTTATTAGAAACAAGCTTTCAAGTATTTTAAGTAATAGGAAATGCAACATATACATGCAGATGTAAATGTAAAAAGCAATATCACAGTGGCAGCCAATAAACTGTGCTGCATTTTATGTTTTGAACAAAAGTTTAAATAGTTAATTAAGGTAGATGAAAATATTAAAATGCATTTAAAAATTGGGGTTGGCTTTCAGAAGAGAAACACATAACAAGCAGCACTTTAGACATGAACTAACCCAATCTAGTGATGCCAGATATTGCTATATTCACTCATAGAAATCTGTGGATGTCATGGATCTTGCCTAGCTAATGAAAACTGAGGAGAGTTTACTGAAAAAAAGGATTAAAGTAACTGTGATATGGTTAGGAAAGGTGTGTGATTTAGCCACCTCCCTGTCTTGTGACCCAGAGAGCACACAGGCCATAAGTTGATGCATTTGCTGTATTTGTCTGTACGGAGTGGTACTCCACATGTAATTTGGAAATATGCTTGATATATTAAAATATTATTTGTGAGAATGGTTTTGCTTAAAAGAAGTGAAGTCTTCATTGCACAGTTCTTGGCAAATATCAGATTTCTGTAACAGAGAGAAAAGAGATGACATAATTTTAATGACCAACGATTGCTTCCAAAGCCATATATGTCATTTAAAATGAAGTATAGTTAATGATTATACAATGTTAGTATTTAAAGACCTAGGTGAAGGAAGATCAATTGCTATGGCAAATGCTATACTGATCTTAATATAAATTAGTAAAAAAGAATTTTTGTACTCTTGATACTGCTGAAAATTTGCTATTTTGTTACATAAGCACTGCATCATATACTATATGCAAAAAGAATTAAAGTATGCTTGCATAGGTAGACTTTTTTTTAGTTAGTGCACATATGACTTCACAAAGTTAACATTCTATAAATTAGTTGGTTTGATTTTACGTACCAGGCTGGATAATTTATAACAAAGTCAAACAATCAGTAGTTTCAACCTGCTCATTTTTAATGTAGAGATGAATTCCTACCTCCAGAAGAAAATACACAAGCCTCTCTACATTCCTCTTCACTCTCAAAGCGGTTTGCATTTCCATCACAGCCACCGTACCAAAACTGAGCACAAGCATTGGCTTGTTTATCATAATACCATTTTATCATATAAACACGGCACATCCCTTGATCCAACCTTAACTGGCACCGGAGGATACTTTCTAAAATAAAGAAAAAAGAGGAATAGAAACAATTCAGTTTGTAACAGTCAATTGTATTGCATAGATTTTACCTTTTAAACTCCGATTTTTGGTTGTTTTTTTTTCCTGGTAATGTTATACAACAGTTTAAGATTCACTCTTAGTTCTAAAGATGTTAGTATTGAAGGCAAGTTAAAAGTGCATCTTAGTAGGTCGATTAAACTATTCCTTTACTGGCATGGTTCTAGTAATTCCAGAAATAACAGTATTATGGCTCTACATACCAAAAGAGCAAAGAATATGAATACGATAATTTTGAAATCTATTTTTTGAAATCTAATTAAGTGCAACCAGTCTTGTGAGCAACCTGAAATTGTAAGCCTAAGAGCTGTAAGGTAGTTGCATATGCTGTTTTCAAATCATAAGCATGACCATCGTCCTTCTCTGCTGCATGTTAGTTCTTTTTGTGGTTGGAAGAAGAGACATTAAAATAGTGAGAAGAATATAAAACTTTAGTCTTGCTTTTGTAAGATATTTGTGTTACTTATCTAATACAATGGTAGTACTTATGTACATAAGTACTTTACCATTGTAAAGCCTGTTGGTCTAGTGACTCCTACAGATATGCATAAGAGGACTGTGACATACTAATCTAGTCTCACTAATAATACCATTAGATAGAAAGCAATTTTCTGTTAAGTTTAATGTTGTGACACCAATATTTTGTCTTTGTTAACTCGTACCTTGTCACTTTTTTGGGTGGAAAAAAAAAAGTTATTGCCAGGGACCAGATAAGCCATGCCAGTGTTCCCAGGAAGCATGGGAACATGTTTCTATCACTCTTTTCTGTTGCTCCCATCATAACAAACTATTACTGGAACTCAAAATCCCCCAAATGATGAACAAAATACATTTGGACATTTCATGTCCAAAAAATCAATGAAAAGAATCAATCCTTTGAGCAGTCAGCTAATTATCATACTTTTCTTCAAATGACTAAACACAGTTTTTTCCTATTTCTCCTCTCCTCTGAAAGAGAAAGCTATTTTTTCTGTCCAATTCTGAAACCATTATCTTTGTCTTTAATGAAGCCTCCTATCTCCATAGACTGCCCCTTCTTGGCTGACAAATTACCTGCTCACTGGCCCACCTCTCTTTTTGATGCCATTTATGAGCTCCTGTCAGATAACCTTGCTTTTGCCATAAGTGGAGCAGTGGGATTTGGAACTTGGGAAGAAAAAAATGGCAACTAGATCTGTTATAAAATCCTGAAATGGATTCTCTTGCACATCATGGACTCACAAAATCTTCAGAGAGTAGAACAAAATTACTCTGATTTAAAACCTTATTAAAAGTTAGTATCAGGATAAGAGGGAACAAAATGAAAAACTAGTTATGATCTATAACCTGGTCTTGGTGTGAGTCCTGCAGTTGAAAGAGGTGATGTCATCACTTTATTGGATGGTGATTGTTTAGATGGCAATAATGGTACCACAGCTGCAGCTGAAAAGAAACAGAATGAGACGTTGATTTTTGATCAGCCAAAAAAGCAGATGAAGAAATGAATGATGATAAAAATACCTCTAGTGTCTGCTGTTAGGAAGGGTAACTGTTTCTCCTCTTGTTCCTCTTCATAGGCTTCATATACTACCACAGGAGGTAATTTGGTCTGAAATAAGCAGTTGATTTTCTTTGTTTTCCAGATACTGTGAAGTGTTTAAAAATTAACAAGCCCTCCATGACTCAGAGATTTTCTAATGTTATTCCTTTCCATTTAACCTGACTTCAGTGTTAAAAACCAGAATTTTAAATTCACCTGGTTGGTTTACCAGGAAAGTTGTCATACCTAAATATGATATATATATTTTTTTTTAGTTGGCCTTTACAGAATTTTATTTATAAACTTAAAATGATAATCTACAATTGAGTTCAATTCTTAGACTTAATTATAACAGTGTAATTGCTTTTTAATAATGTCGTTTCACACTGTGGCACAAATATTCCTGCATTAAACAAAGGAATGATAATTCTTGTAACAGTATCAGGAATAAACTATAGCAATTATAAATTATATATTATATTATAAATTATAGCCTGCATGCAACATCAGAACTCTTACTTAGAACAACCAGCTCTGAGCATACCATGTTAAAGGAGCTATTACAGTACCTGTCTGGCAGAAAAGTAAGGTGAAGGTTACATACTACCTCAGGCAGCACAGAGGGATATATATTTTAAACTTCTGCTCATTGAAGTCTGCTGAATTTTCATACCGGAGCTAATGGATGAGGAAGATCACCAAGACTCAGAGGACTTTCTACTGTAGATACTCCAGGTGTCTGTGCTGAAAGTGGTTGTCCATTAACATGGTGGTTCTGAAGTGTGTAATATAAAGAACTTGGAGATACTGAATGGAAATATGAACCACTTATACTTGCACCATTTCCATTACGGTTGTATATTAAGGTACCATGTTCATCTTCACAAAATTGGTTTACTAATTTGGACTCCAGAGCTGTTTAAAAAAAAGAAAGTAAAAAACATCATACTGAGAAATTCAATGAATTTTTAAAATATGGGCTATTTATATACGTCAGTAATACACACGTAATCCAGTACTCCTCTGGATTGTTTATATGTCTCTAAGAAGATTATTCCAGACTCTCTGCACTATAGCTTTTTTTGGTCACAAATTTGCCAGCATGTAAGTCCTCTACATGGTACAAAATACAATGAACTTATTTAAAGGTGTTCATCCAAACTTAGTAACAACTACTAGTTGGTTACAGGAAAATAACTTCTTACCTTGCTGATGTGAACAACTAAATGAAAAAGGGAAGTGAACAAGCAGAATTTATGACAATGGGTTTCACTCTGACTTACAGTCCAGCAGATGTGCAATGCATGAGCACTTACTCAGCCTAGAAAACCAGTTTAAGCAGCTGTTTTCCTAGACTGGGTGACATCCCCCTGTTGGCGTGTTGAATCATTGCCCTATAATGTGACCCCTTAAAAGAAGTGAATCTCTATCTCTAGGTTCCTATTACTTTGCACCTTGTAACTAATCCTGATCAGCATCAAAACTTGACATATCCATAAAGATAGTACTGTCCCCCCACCATGCCCCCTTCTGAGAAGCATCAGATACAATGCATAACTTCAGTGAACGCACCTGGAAGGGTGTTAAAGTCATCAATGAGAAACATGTGTTCTGTGTCTGGATCTGAGGCGATCAGATTGAGCTCGCGCACAAACTCGGCCTGTGTCGGATCTGAAGTGTTTACAATTCCTATTGCGTACATTTCGATGTTTGCTGCGTGAGCCTCTCGAACGGCAGTGTCCAGTTTTACAGCTTCTCTCTTGTCTGCTTGGCCATCTGTCAGCACAAGAGCTACTTTCCGCACTCCTGCTCGAGCACCGAGGAATCCTTCCTGGGTTGCTTTACGGATAGCAGTTCCTGTGTAAGTGCCTTCTCCCATGTATTGCATTTTTCTGATTGCTTGCTTAACGTCCTGACGAGTTGTATATTTGTTGAGACCAAATTCTAGTTGAACTTCTAAACTGTATAACACCAGGCCAATTCTAGTAGCATTTCTGCCTACAGTTACTCTGTCTACTAAAGCAGTTACAAAGTCTTTGACAATCTCAAAATTTTCTGGTCCCACACTCTCAGAGCTGTCAATCACAAATACAAGCTCCATAGGAATTTCCTTACATTTAATGCCACAACCTGCAAAGGAAAAATAAAAAAACCCAGATCACAATGACTTGACATGGTATCCTTTTGGAAAGGAGAAGAATGTAAATGTAATAAAGAAAATATAGAACCTGAACGTAAAGATTTCCTGAGTACTTACCACATATCTCTTTAATTAATTTAATTATATCTTCTCTCTGGATATGAAAAGAATTAAATATGAAATTATTTTACAACTTTGCCTCTTTCAGATAATGCATAATATTGACACTAACAAATATTTTGTTTAAAATTAATATTTGTGTCCTACAGGAACTTAGAAAAATCTTACTGTTTAACTTCCAAACCTGACCTTCCAAACAGGGAATGAGTCCCACATTTTACACTGAACTGTTTCATATGCATATAACAATCATTAACTTGACAACACAGAAACATCTTTATCGAAAACAGTTAACTACTGTTATTGTAAAAATGTTTTGTGATTAACTGATTCTCATTAAAACTGAAAATCATTCATATTTTAGTATCTGAATAATGATATCCATTTTAAATGTGTTGGGAGTGGAGAAACAGACCCAACTTTAGGAATTGTATTGCTTGTAGTGAGCTGATGTATGACAGAGCACCCACACAGAATGGAATTGGGAGTTGGAAGCCCTGGTGTATCTGGCCCACTCTGTTACCCAGATTTCATCAGAAAAAAGAAAAAACAGCTGCTGCCTTCGGAGCTGTCTGTTCAGAAAAGTGAGACCTTCTGTGAACAAAGTGTTTCTTGTTATTAGAGAAATCCTTGGTTATATTTTTTTAAGTGCATGACAGGACTCATTTGGCATTGAGTCAGCCTTTCAAATACAACCTTTTGCTACTGCTGCTCAGCTTCCATAAAACTTAGTAGTAGTCACTGACATACTTTTACTGAATTTGGGTCAAGTGCAGTTCAGACTTAGCAGAAATATAATTAAGTTCATAGCATGACAGACCATGACAAGTTTGAAGATCCTTGCTCTTTATACTCTTAAATACTTGTAAAAAATCCTTTCTGCAGCAAGTGTACTCCTGAGTCATCTAAAGCTAACTGTAAAAGAACATATAACAGAAAAATGCCTAAAATTACCAGGAACTTAAAATTCCATTTCAGTAGAAAGTAGATGAGAAAAAATCAGAAATCTTTGAGTGGTTTCATGCTGCAGTATTACTGAGACCACTTCTTGTCAGAAAGCTCCATCCAAAATAATTAACAGGATATGTTTCATCTGATCTAGTATTGTTTATATCTTGCCATAAGGGGATTTAAATAATGGAATTTGCTTACTGTTAGACCTTGCTCTCCCTTTGGTCCAGTTTTGCCCTGTAACAGTGATTGTTAATTCAACATTGCAATTAATTAGTAACATTGTAATTCAGAATATGACTGCATCAATACCATTATTTGAACAATATTTGGCCAATAGGAACTTCGGCTAGAAAAAGTGGTGTTTGTGATACTACCTTGTGCATTCAGTATCTGCAGCCTCCTAAGGTGATGGTGTTATATGGGAATTGGATGACCTCAAGTCTCCCACTCAATCACCGATTGTCAGTTTACATTAGAAAGGGAGAATCTGTGCAAAGCTTTCTTGTCTACCATGTTGTGTTGATTTCCTCTCTCAATAGACTGTGTACCTGCCTGACACCCTGGAATAATGAGAATTCTGCTTCATCATGTGTGAGTTTAATAGGGCCAGTAGCAGGACAAAAATGAATTTTTAAAATATGGACTATTTATATGTTAGTGTATATATATATATATACATGTCACCCCCCCAGCAATGGAGTTTATATATTCCTACTTAATAGTATGCAAATTTCAGAACAGAAGAGCACCACATGGGACCTGCCCATCAGCAGAAGTTTTCATTTTGACTCCCCTCATTGTTCATCAGCTTTGAGGGAAAGTCTGAGCTGTAGTTATTTGCTAGCCATAGAATAGAATTGCATAGTTTTGTCTTGAAACATGGCAGTTGTCCTTCACTGCTCTCCTGGTTTCAGCTGGGATAGAGTTCATTTTCTTCTTAGTAGCTGGTTTAGGGCTGTGTTTTGGGTTTACTATGGGAATCATGCTGACAACACACTGATGTTTTGGATGTTGCTAAGTGGCGCTTACCCTAAGTCAAGGACTTTTCAGTTTCCCATGCTCTGCCAGTGAGGAGCTGCAGAAGGAACTGCAGGGAACATGGCCAGGACAGCTGACCCCAAGTGGCCAAAGGGATATTCCATAGCATAGGATGTCACACTCAGTACACAAACTGGGGGGAGCTGGCTGGGAGGGGCCGATCACTGCTTGGGGGTGGGCTGGGCACTGGTCAGCAGGTGGTGAACAACTGTATTGGGCATCACTTGTTTTTTTCATTATTATGATTATTATTATACTTTGGTTCAATTACTAAACTGTTTTATGTCCACCCATGAGGCTTGTCCTTCTGTATGTGAATTTTATTTTTAGTTTTGTTTTACTTTTTTTATCTTATTCATCCTGCCCCCTAGTGGCCCACAAGGCTAGGGGGTAGGTGACTGAGTGGCTGCACGGTATTTAGTTGCTGGCTGGGGTTAAATCATGACAACTTCCTTAAGAGAGAAACCACATCTGTGGGATAAGTGGGGTATTAATCAAGGAAATGTCTTTTTGCTTTTAAAGTTTTTCATTGTTTCAGTTTCTTAAGTATTTCAGATTATATGTAGTTAAATAGAAAGAAGAACACACAACTCAGCTTTGTTATTACATGGTTTAAGAAAACAGCCATGATAAACCTGAGTTACTCACGGGTTCTCCAGATAAACCAGGGTCACCCACATCACCTTTTTCTCCTTTTTTCCCCTTGTCACCTGTAGCTCCTCGATCTCCCTGTAAAACCATGTTGGTAAGCAGACAGAAAGCATAATTCAGTTTTTATTACACTTTTCAAATTTCTCTCTAGTTGCCTTTGTTGAATTTTCCTTCAGCTTCTGATATGACAGAAATCTTCGTTAGACATCATTTAAATAACTTGGTATTTTGTGACTTTCATTAATAACTTATAGGATTGGCTAAGCATCCTTATGGGAAAAAAAAAGTGAAGCTGTTTGAACAATGAACCATCTCAAACAACTATATGCACACTATAGAGGGGTTTCATGTGATATTACGTGATGGAAATTATTATCAGTGTCTTAGGAAAATAAGATAACAGTAGGGAAATAGAAAAGAAATCCAAGGGTGTCATTGGAATGAATAATGAGAATATCACTCTGAGAAACCTTTTGGCCCAGAAAATTTGGAATTGCAAACAGATGGATTCGTGTGTCCTGGTTTGATTTTTAGTAGACTATGGTATTTTGTACAGCCTTTCTGAGCCAATGTGATTGCATCTAAAAACTGATTCCAATCTAAAGTTCTCTTTTTCTTAACATTGATGTAAAGCCCAAATTTTGCATAGTGGGTGAAAGAAAGGCAGTAATATTAAATCTAATAATAAAATAACTTCTAATAATAATATAATCTTCCAATATCTGGGGTTTTCCCAAATGCCCATTCCCTTTACACAGAATTTATAAGCCTTCAATGAGAGCTGACTGTAATGAGTATTTTCAGTGTGTTCTTTTCCATCTAGGGCATTATCTCTCATTTACATATCATACCTTCTGTCCTAAAAGCCCATCTCCAGGAGGGCCTCGTGGTCCTGGCATTCCTTGAATTCCTTGTTCCCCCTAATGATAATCCAAGTAGTGATATTAACTCTTTGTAATCATTAATCATGCTTTAAGTTTAAATGTTCAAAGAGAAAGTGTTTCAAACTGCATTTTAACAAGTATTTTGAGGCACTTGAGACAATGTAGTAGCTAGCTTATATTTCTCAAATATTTCTTCAGTATAAAGTTATATAATATTGAAAAACCACATTATTGATTTTAATTTTAATTTGTTCCCTCTTTCTATCCCATTTTATTCATTCTCATTCCTTTTTTCTTATTTCTGTCTTTTGAGTGTGTCTCATCTGACTGATGCTTTGGGTAAAAGTGCATGTTATAGGGAAAAATTAATATTACACATAGATTCAGGATGGAGACGCTTTCTCTACCATAGTATTCATATAACTACTTCAGGCTGTCTCCATGGGCATGAGAGCTGAGGAAGAAGAAATGGTATTTTTAATTTCGTAAAGGTATCTTTGATGAAAGTTCCTTCCTTCTCCCTCAACACGTGTGCTTGGGCTGGTTGTTCACAGCACACGTTCTGTATCAGAGCAGAACATACAGATACAGAACATACTTTGTAAGCTCCCATTATCCTTCTCATTTTCTCGCCTGAGGCTCTCTTCATATAAGAAACTATGTGAAATCTCCCTAACACTGTGATGGTCAGACTGACCGCTCAGCACAGGTTAAATATTGGAGACATGAATTAATTTACCTTAGTTCCTTGAATACCTTCACCAGGAGGTCCCAGAGAGCCAGGTGGCCCTGGGCGTCCTATGGTTCCCTAGAGAATATTCAGAATAAAAATACACAATAAATTGTTGTACCACCATGTAATTTCTTGTCCACCCTCTACCAGACATTTCTTTTTATAAGTAGTGAGGATAAGATTGCTCTGTCCGACAAAGACTCATTTCAGCCTTTATCAGATTATTAAAATCCAATTTATACGTCAAAGGAGTCACTTGGCTTAATGATTACTGAACATAAATAACCTTGCTGAGAGATATATACGTTGTGTTGAAGGAAGGATTGTATTGTTGGGATATTGGGGACTGAATTAAGATTTAAGAGAGGATTATTATTGTTTTGTTATCTTTCATCACCATTAAGTAAGACCCATGGGCATACATACTAATGTGGCATTGCAAATAAATACTTGTTGCTAATTCATAAGATAGTTTTCAAAAGAACTCTAGAGAAAATGTTTCCATTCCATATGTTATTCACAGGAAGCAATCAAAACCCACATAGTGAAATATTAATTTCATGCCTATATTGCTATTCCAGTATCCCTGCACGAAATTCTCTTTTTCCTCATTTGTAAGGATACTGTGCACATGCCAGTCCTTGGGACTAGTCCTGGCTGGGAAAGTGCTTCACTACTGCTTTGCTCTGGATGTGGTTTTCATGCCAATGTGAACTGAATCTCTGGGACCAATAAGCCACATTCTGCAGGTAACACATTATTATGTTGCATAATCTTTGCATTTGACTTTGTTGAGTTCCTTTACATTTACATTCTACACCATTTCTTTTGCATTAGTAGACTTCTAAAACTGAGCTGTAGGAGCATAAGAATTTCCAATTTGGGAGGTTTCATAGTGAAAATTGCTTTTTATAGTTACAATTACTTTCAGGCCTTTGTCATGATGTATATTATAACTACAAAAATAATCCTTTTTTTCAAGGATCGATTCCTTATTGGCCATTATATGTTTATTAGGTTGGTATAGTAAAAAAGAAGAATTAATTCTAGAAGAACTCAACAGTATGCCTATAGCTGTAACAGTAGCATGGGCAAGACACACTAAGTGCTTGCCAGGCCATTAATTTTGACCAATGCCAGGTTTGAAGAAACTTTTGCTACTCAGGTGCAGCTAATGCCTGCAGGAGCTAAATGTTTTGTCACTGATCTTCACGCAAGGTTATCGTTTATCATATGCAACTGGAAGAAGGCTATGGTTTATGGCTAGTTACCAGAAACATTTTTGATTTTCTACAAAATAAAGATTATTTGTTGGATTAATTGTTTCTAGTGAAGCGTGAAGACAGAAGACATGTGGATGTCTATGCACTTCTATGCATTTTTATAGTATAGTTTGTTTGTTTGTTTGTTAGAAAAAAGACAAAGGGAGACATAATTGTTAAATCTCTTACTTTTGGTCCTGGCAAACCTTCTCCTGGTGGACCGGGGAGGCCAACTGGTCCTCTAATACCAGGATCACCCTGAAAGGCGATACTTTAAGAGATAAGTAGTGAATACAAAAGTTTAATTTATCTCTAGGATTCCCAGCACCTCTTATACTCAGATGGGACAAAGAGAAGAGAACTATTGAACAACATAGTGCAAGTCCAAACAGTGATAACTCATGAATATGGCAGGCAGGACAAGGAAGTTACTGGGGATAAACAGCTAGTGGTCTAAACATATTCAAGACATGTACAGCCAATTATGCATAGTTACACAGGAATTACAATTCCCGTGTTGAAAACAAAACAAAAAAACCACAAAGATTTTGCTTGCTGTCAGTTGAGTCACACTCTATGTTCAAATTGCCACTGTTCTAGCTTTTTCCTATCAGTGTCTCCAGACAGCTAGGGGTTTGAGGTCAGTGGGAAAAAGATGCATGTCCTTTTGAGAGACATTAAGCATGTTTAAATAGTTGCAGTCAATTCTTCAATTGCCTGTATAATGCCAGTAATCCTGCAATCTGCATCAGGATGAGTTCTGAAGTGAAGCTTGAAGAGCTTCTATGGGATCTATCTTTTATATACTGACAAGGAAGTTAAAGCTGGACTAAATAGGTATTCTGACTGTGATATATAAGTAGGAATTATATCTCCACGAAGTAACATATACATATACATATGCATATACATATACATATACATATACATATACATATACATATACATATACATATACATATACATATACATATGCATTTACTTTTCTAGAAGTTAAGGTCTGTACCTTAGGTCCTGGTAGCCCGACTCCATCTGGGCCTTGTTCACCAGGAATCCCAGGGAGGCCTGGCAAGCCCTGAAATTGTATACACAGACAACATACATTTAATTTACGGTTATATTGACTATGTGCTTTTGTTAACATTTGTATGGTAGTGTCTTGGATATATTGTCTCTTGGTGGGATCACTTTAGTCTACAATTGGTTAAATTTTACTCTTATAAACCAGAAGTGGTGTCAGTGGCATTTGTGTGTGTGTTGAATGCCATGCAGGGGGCTTGCATGTGTTTGAAGACAGAGGAGTCTAACCTGGAAAGACAGTTGCCACAGCCATTCTGCACTGCATAATCAAGAGAAGTGGAGGACAGGGAAGGTCTTGCACTATTTCAGAAGGAGATTTTCCTTCTATGCTGAAATGCATTTCCACAGTTGAGGAGTCTTTTTAGGCCTTTAGACCAACAAATCTTTCCTAGCATGTCAGACACAGAGGCGAATCACTTACGTGTAGCACTTATTTGTTCCCAATTCACATAAAAAAAAATCTATAAACTTACAGGTGGGCCGGGATAACCATCTCCTTTTGGCCCAAAGGGCCCGGGGGGTCCTGGAAGGCCTCGGTCACCCTGATGAAGGCAGGAAAAACCTCTGAGTGAATGCCAATACAGTTGTTAGCAGGAAATTTTCCATGGAAGTGAAACTTCTGTGGCAAATATACTGTAAATTGATTTTATCTGTCTATCTGCTAATGTATTTTACTATGTAAATTATTTTTTTTAGGTTTATTTAATCCTGGATTAAAACAGTACCAGCTCAGGATTTACAGGAGCATTCACTTCTATGAAACTAATTTTAGTATTTTTCAAGAGCTCTGTCTGTTGTAATTTGTGGCCTACATATAAGAAGAAATTCTGTTAGTTGCATTCCCCATATTTTTATCATAATTTTATCATAATTTGTTCTAGAATTGTATTTTCCTATAATGCTATGGAACCTCATTAAAACTTCTAACAGGAGCTTCCTATGGGAGATGTATAATTAAGCTTCTTTCATGGATGCAGATGGCTGGATTATTCAGGAACAAATTTACCAAGAAAACTAAAAGGACTTTAACCCTCCCAACCACACTGGATGGTGCAGTGAACTGCTCAGTTAGAGTTGAATGGATGATCAAGATTGTGTTTGTCCCTGTAGCTACACAAAATGTGGGCATGCAGAAATAACGCAAAAATAATTTAAAAAAATCAGATTGTAAAAGGCTTTCCCCTGTACAGCTTAGTGCAGATGTGTGTCTGAGAATGAAGGAACAGCAAAACCACTCATGCTGACAAAGACAGCAAAAAGTGAAGAACATAGTCACAGAAACAGGCAGTGTCACCCAGCTGAAAGAGCCTTGAGGACTCAAGGCTGAGGGAGAGAGACTTGCAGCTCTGAGCAAAGGGCTTGCTTCCTGTTGATTGATTCTTGTTGGATCCCCAGAAATGGGACAACATGCAATTCTCTGAATTAGCTGGACTATACCAGAAAAGTACGTGACTCCATCATCATAATCTCCTCCTGATGAAAATAAATGTAAGGATCTTGAAAACCTCTGACTGATCAAAAAGGGATAGAGATTGTTACACGCTTCTCATGCTTCTCTTACTATGTTCAGTTCACTCAAAGAACAAAAGTACTGTCAAATTCAATAAGAAAAAAAGGGGGGGGGCAAGCAGGATCCAGTATATTTTGAGAAACACAGGTTTATATGTCCTGAGTTTCTTGGTGTTCAAACAAAATCATTCCTGGAATGAAGAGTGGATTATGAAACTCAAATCTAGGTACCACTGAGGCAATACTAGAAAAGTGCTAGAGAGAGATTTGTAGCTACTTGTTCATGTTCTTCTTGCACTACTTAAGGTATTTCTTCTCACAGTACCAGTTTGGCCCATGTCCTGAGACCTTTTTGGAGTCTATAGATTACCATGTGTCAAAATTAGGAATGAAGCAAAGGAGCCTGGATGAGAAAAATTAACTGTACTTGACATGTAGGCTGTTGTAAGCACAGTTAACAGGTGTCCTCTCTGCATTCACTTCTAATCAATTAGAAACAGTCATTCTTCTCCTGGTTCTCTGCCATCTGAAAGCTTCTGATTCACAGAATCTGGAAGATTGACCATCCATGTTTTTCTGGCTCTGCAAATCCTTATACTCTAACAGAGTTGTAGGACACATTTGTTAAGAACTGTGAAACACTTGGCCATCCTAGGAGATTTTTGTTGCTTTACTGAAATCCTCCTGGCTTATTTTACAGTTCTATCAGAAACTAGTTTAACAATTTAGAAACTACCTTTGGCCCAGGAAGTCCCAAACCTGGTTCTCCAATTGGTCCAGCAAGACCAGGTAACCCAATGTCACCCTGCAATGAAGAAAATAAATACTCCTGTTACGTATTTTATTAAACTCCAATCACAGGCTGGTTTTCTGATATACAAATTTATATATATCAAACATAATAGCTAATTTTATTTATTGCTACTGCAAGCATTAAAACCCAAAAGCAGAATAAAGAAAGTATTTTGATATCCAAGGTTATTCAAAATAAAGCAATCAACAAAAGTAGGCCATACCTCAACCTGCCATACAGTTAATACGAGAGCACTGTGGTAACTAGACTGGATATAATCCATAACTCTATTCATAGGAAAGAAGAAGTTTTAGTTGACCTTCTGAGGCTGAAATGGTTTCAACAAGTATTAGCATAGCCTACTTCAGTTTTCACCCTGTGTTTATAGGCACTGGGAGCTGGAATCTGGATGTTACCTTTGGCCCAGGCACAGCTCTTCCAGGAGGGCCTGGCATTCCAAGACGTCCTGGTGCACCAGGCTCTCCCTGCAGTGAAGGAAGGAGAGAAAAACCAATGGATTTTTCTGAAAGTGAGCATGACCATCTCATATAGAAAGCATTTATGCAATAATTTACAATATTCCATTAAAATTCTGTTAGAATTTCTAATATGCAATTCTACATGGAATATCTGTGGAATATGTTTGAGAACTGATAACAAGCATACTTCTGTTTTCTCAATGGAAATGAGATCCTTCTGACTGCACAAACAGATGCTATTAGAAGTCCCTTTCTTAGTATATTTGAGACTTAGTCATACAGCACTCAAGACTTCCTGCCCAGCTCTGTAGGTATACTGAAAACATGTATACTTTTCTGTTAGAGTAGATTTTTTTGAAAATAGTCCTTTCAGTGTACTTTTTTACCTCTTTTACCTTTTATGTGGAAATACTCTTGTGTGTATAAGTAGCAAAGGACTTACTAAGAAACTGGAGGAGAAACCTAGAGTAGCTCTTCTCTCACTTTCAGTGAGAACTGAGTATTTTAATGGAAACTCCAAATTCATAAAAGAATATCAGCTATGAGTCAGTGTAAGGGAAAATAAAGTCCTGTCACATATGTATATTCCATACACAATACTGTCTTCCCAAATATTTCAGTATAAAAATACCAGTAGATACCTTAACTTTTTGTAAACCAACAGGGAAGCAATGTGGTAAAGGCAAAGTTTTTTAAAAAATGCTTCTAGCTGTTTAAGGGATCATGGTGTGTCTTGCTAAGAGAAGCGTTAGCTGGACTTTTTTTTTATTATTATTATTATTTAATGAAGCAAGTTCATTCTGGAACAGTTGTTTCTGAGATCTGGAACAAAGCACAGCTTTAGGAGGCTATTTTACACACAAAACATAGTAATAAACTCACTTTAGCTCCAGGAGGTCCAGGCACTCCTGCTGGTCCTGTTAATCCACGTATTCCTCTCTGACCTTGATCTCCCTACAGAAATGGAGAAGACATGTCACACATACTAAATAATATTAATTATTATTATTATTATTATAAGAATGTGCTAACTGGAATTAACTGTAAATGTCAGTGAAAGATATCAAAGATCTATCTTGTAGGTGGTGCACATGAGCTGTTCCTATTGCCTTCATTGGCAAGTCAGTTAATTCTGCTCAGTAATTGTCCAGTTTTGGATTGGTACAGCTACAACTACATAGATTTAATCCAAAATGAAATTAACTAACTTACCAGTGAATACTGTGGAAAAAAAGACAACCCAAAAGGAATCTTAAAGATTGAATCCTTGCAGCTGAAAACTAAGTTATTACATTAAAAAGATACTATCTAAGAAAAATTATCAAACCAGGAAAATATAATTCACTTGGTAGTACTTTTTTTTTTGATTCTAAGGCAAATAGGGCCAATCAATTGATCACGATGCCCTGTCTGATTGACCAGCTTGCACTTCCAGGAAGAAAAAGCTGAGAATAGTGTAAAGTTTGTAAAGGGAAAGCTGGTATTCAAGAGGATTATTAAGCTGTAATAATTACAACAAAAATAAAACTGTGAGTCCAGAATAGTATTTTTTTGTTATTTATATTAGACAAAAAAAGCCAAGGCTTTGACAAACTTATTCTTGGAACATTACAATATCGTGTGACATCTTTAGTAAGACATTCTTACCTTTTCCCCCTGTATTCCAATCCCTGGAGCACCTTCAGGACCTCTAAGACCAGGTAACCCTGGTTCACCCTTGAATAGAAAAATCAAGGGAGTATTTCATAGCATTGCATAGACATGGTGCAAGATCAAGTCTGTATTCCCTTGAATAAGTTCATTAAAATCATAGACCTTTTAGAGTCAATGACAAAACTCCCACTGATGTCAACTGGGTTCAGGATTTTCTTCCCACATTCACAAGCATGCAGTATAAAACTCCAGGTGGAATGCATGAAGTAGCCTTAGTGATGGCTGAACACTTTGATTATATAATCTTAAATACTGGCGTTTCTGATTCTAGGAAAATAACGTGATCAGAAGGCCAGAAAGGTTTCCCATAGCCATTTTAGTGGTTTTCCTTCTGAGTTGCAGGGCATTTAGTGGATTTTAAAAAGCCAAAACCTGTAAACAATGTAAGACAATGCCCCACCCCCAAAAAAGTAGAGAAAGCAAAGTTTACCCTAAAAAAGTATATTCGAAAGAGAATTCTTTTCACTGAAAAAGTGTGGTGCTTTTCCACTCTCTCTTCTAGGTCCAGGTATCAGCACAGGGAGAGCAGCAGGAATACTTGGAGGGAAGCAGGTAGACTGCAGACAGAGATGAACCAACCTTTTGTCCAGGGGCTCCATCTTCTCCTGGAAGACCAGGCAGACCTGCCAGTCCTGAAGGCCCTGGCTCACCCTAACATCAATAAAAAGTAAATCCTTCTATTAAATTCAGACTTGGTACTAATCTTTCTCTGACTTGAGGAAATCTATTTAATTTTTTTTCTAATGATTTAAATGTATTTATAGCACATATTTATGCATATGACCCCATATCTTGACTTTTTTATAAAGACAGCTCTCATTACCTGGTGCTTTCCTACCATCTCATTGTTTGAACTGTGCACTTTATCTGTGCAATTAAAATTCTTAGCTGTTAATGCTCCAGGTCAAACATAATGCCATCATATCATTAAATGGCAGCATTTATCAGATAGAACTGACTGTGACATGATTGACATCTTACTGGTGAATATCAGTGCAAATCTGTTGATGGCATGGAATTGTCTTGGGCCTATTTATGTAAGATTCAAGAGCCTGACCTGGCTTTAGGTGAAATGGGATCATTTGGGGTCAAATGGGTTCAATCAGCATTACTGTATTTTGTGAAATTAAAGAAAGAAGTGGAATAATTTCTTTTCTTTTCCAACCCCTGTCCCAAATCTGTAACAAACAAGAGCAAAACCACGACCGCCCTGTGCCTTTCTACTATCACGAAAGTACTTTTTCATCTATTCCCATATTTTATGTTAATCTGGCTGTTAATGACATAGGGACTGGTTACTATCTTGGTCACTTCAGCACTAAGATAATCTGGTTACAGCTTCCTCTCCTCTTAGCAACTGTGCTTTCCGTCTGTCAGCACAGCTTGTTTCTTGTGAGGATGTAGCTGCTGCTCTGTTTCCATCATATTCTGGTTGAAAAGGGAAGGAGCAGCACAATAACCACTATTCAGTGCTTTTTTTCACCTCTCTGGCTATAGTGTAGCTTACACTTGGGACTGTAAAATCTGCCAGCTGTTTCATATTCTGGATGGTTTTCTGGACAGAGCTGTAGGTGAGCTGTGTGCAGCACCGACTTGAGCATGGGTCAGGCATGTGGAAATTTCTCTAGTCACCATAAATCTTACTACTTTGTACAGAAGTGGTATATTTAAATGTTCCCATATGTAGAGGTTATTGAAAGTCTGGCTTAAAAATTTAAAAGACTAAGACTCTAGATTTTATTTCTAAACCTATTTTAGTGTCTACAGAAAGGATACTCAGGAAACACAAATTTATAATCTGAATAAATAAATAGATAAAATAATTCCTCTATTAACAATGTACCTTAGAACCAGGTTCTCCAATACCTCTTTCTCCTGGCACTCCAGTCTCTCCAGGCAAGCCTTGTTCACCCTTAAGTAGATATTAGTTTTTGACAGATTATTATGGAAAAGTATCAAAGCATACGCTTCGTTGCTTACATATAAAGGAAGATTAGTATGATATTGTCTTTAGTATGCTGTGTTAAACCCTTGGTCACAAAGGTTGGGAATCTGCCACATATTTTGAGCTGTCACCAAAGAGTCATTGTTGGAAATTATAAAAGCTGTAAATCTATAGTTATATGTCACTGGGAATCTTTCCTTCCAAAGTAGCTGATATTTCAGGAGCATATCTAGCTTCCACAGATAATTCATTCTTCTCTTTCTTTTTACCAGTGATAAAGCATATCCCTGCACAATCACTTTAAATGTAAGAGGTGACATCTGCTGCTGCAAAGTTCTTTACCTTTTATGGACACTTCTCTGACTTACACCTCTGGTTCCTTTATACCATGCTTTAATAGCCTTCAGTCATTCAGAACTTTATTTGTCATGTCTTTCAGGAAATCCGTTTAAATCTCAATTCCAAACACTTCTAGGGTGATGTGTTTCATTAACAGTTCTGTATTTTGCAAATCTGTCAAGGCTAAATTATTCTAACGCTTTTCCTCCAGCAAAGGTAATCTTCATTACACCTTGGACCATTTTTAACGTCTAGACACAGTAAATGCACAAATTCAACAGTGAGACAACAGTCAGCAGAAGCAACAAGGAAGGCAGCCAGTCTCTAAGGTATCTATGTATGTATTTTTCTGACATGAAAACAGTACAGTGAGGATAAACATGATATTGAAATTTTGGTGTTCCTCTCTGTTAAGTGCAATTACTTTTCGGAACTGTTTCCCTGCACCTGCACGTGATTTGATGAAACTGCAAGTTCAAGGCAGACAACGCTCTAAAAGGAAATGTACTGGATGAAGTGCAGCTCACTGTCTGGTATGTGGTACCTCACAGGTTCTGTGTTGACTCAAGCCCAAACTGAAATAGATAGCTGTGGCATCAATTTACAAAGGCTTTTCACTAGAGTTGTATCTGCTGTACAGTTTTATAATATTAATAAAGAAAATAATCTGCATCTACGTCAATATTTAGATTGCTGTTCAGCACTTTAACATGGATAAAGATAGAGATAGACCATTTCTTAATCATGAAACATAACAGTAAAAACAGCACAGTAGCTTTTACTTCAGAAAATTCCCTAACCTTTGGTCCAGGTAGTCCCTGTCCTGGTAGCCCTCTAGAGCCAGGTGGTCCTTTTGGGCCTTCTACTCCCTGAGAAGATTAGTTAAGTAATTATTAAAAATAAAATAGTTTCTGTTACTATACATTTAAGTATGAGGTGAGGGGGAAGTGAAAATTGCACCTTCTCTCCTTGAATTCCAATTCCAGGTAATCCAACTGGTCCAGGTAAACCAGGAGGACCAAATTCACCCTGGCAAAAAAAGTACAATTGCTTAGTTGTGAAAAGATACAGAAACAATCTGGGACAACTCCCATGCTAGTTGACTTAACCTCTCTTGAAGTCAGTGAAGTTGGGGAATCTGATCTTTCATTTTTCATATATGCATTTATTTTGTGCTAGTTCAGCTGCAAACAACTGCTAGTCTCTTTTTCCCTTTTTAAACCTAAATTTTCCCACAGAATCAGATGCTTTTTCTAACATCTGTTTTAATACGAAGAAATATTAAAATAGGTTTGGAGAATTTATTGGACAAAAATGTCAACAAAATACCATATTATCCAGGGTCTTTTGTGGGTTCCTTGCCTCATTACGCCTTTTGCAGTGACTATCAATCCCATATTCCCTGTATTATGTAGATTTATTGGCATTTCATTAATCCCCTGGTGTATTCCTTGCTCACCTTTTCACCTTTTATGCTGATGCCTGGAAGTCCACGAGGGCCTTTTGGTCCATCAAAACCACGGTCGCCCTACATGAAAAAATAATATGTTGTTAACTGTGTCACTAGAGACAGTGCTTATTCTGTCATCATGAAAACCAAAATGAGAACCAGAAAGCAGCTCCTGAATCTGTGTTCCAGAGGTGATCCTTTCAAATGAGTTTTTTCTGCAGTTTGAAATTTCTGATGAAAGAGCTGAGCAAGCTTCTTTTTATCTTTCTGCCCATCTCAATTGCTTAAAGTCCTGTTTTGCTTCCTCTCAAATCAATGGCAAAACCAGAACTGATTTAAATGTTCACAGAGCTGAGTATTGAGACTAACTGAAAACTGAATTCTGCTGATTTGTCTCATGGGTTAATCTCATTAAAGTGTGGCAAGGAGGATCTGGCTCTCCCTAAGCATTTTGCCAGATTGAAGACCAGGCCAACAGTATTGTTGTAGAAGTCTATTTGTAAATGTCATTGTCTTTCTAACTGTTTGTTTACAAAGCAGTGGTCTTGGGAAAGTGCAAGTTACTAATAAGGATGCAAATATTGTGATTTCTTGTACTTATGTTAATAAAACATGTAAAGGCAGATGTTAGCTTGTATAAATTGTCACAGAATCACCGAGACATCAAAGTTATGCTCCAGATGGGTCTTTTCTATCCCCAGTAACCAATTCCATTGTTTTAACTTTGACTAAAATACATTATGTGGATTTCTGTTTTAAATTCTTTACTCCTGATGCTTTAGAACATCTGCCTTCATTATCCTTCTTACCAAACTGTGGGCTTGTAGTAAAGACACTGTGAAGAAAGCAACTGTAAATTTGCTTAGATTAACAAATCACCTGTTTAAAATGTGTTTAAAACCAGAAAGCTGACATGCTTGGCAGCCATAAATAGGATTAGAGATACAGACTCTGTTGATACATGCTTGGCTCCAGGTCAGACTTGGCAGTAAAAAGTAATTCATTTTTTATAGAACCAAGAGTTTCAATAGTGCTGGCAGAATTCCACTTTGATTATTTTATTCTGTCTGTCTATCTCAATTGCTTAATAGTTTTGGTTAGATTATGCACTTGTCTGTACTTGTTCCCACTGTGTCTTGCTGCTGTGCTTTACTTATTAGTTGTAGTGTTTCTTCCCACATAAATTGATGTTTCAGTGGCAATGGAGTGATTTTAAAGTGCATTTTCTTCAAATTGTTTTTTTTTGGTTTTTTAATTCATGAGATCTGCTAAGCAAATACAAGCCACCAACAATGAGGTTAAATGATTTATATAATTCATCATAAAATACACACTGGATGTTTGAAGATATTATGTTGCTAGCAGCAGTTAAATTTAAACCTAGCTGACTACAATATTGTGCTAAGCAGAAATCCTAAGATTTTGGTAAAGGGACAGTTGGGCTCTGCATCTGTGAAACAATTTTTTGTTGTTTTCCCAACCACAATTGCCTTGGTGCATACATAAAAATGAGCAAACTGTTCAGCTGCTTATTTAGCTTGTGTACAAGCTGTGTCACTTCATTATTGTAACCAAAGGCTGAAGTGACAAACTCGGCCTGGGAACTGGTTTTCACTGAGCAGCAAAAGGATCTTCTAGTGAATCCATCCATGCAGGTACAACTACTACTGCTATTACTTCCACTGGATCTGAAAATTAGTAAGAGCAGCTTTCTTTTGCCACAAACTGAATTCAGACTTCTGCTAAAATGCATAAGCTGGTGGCTGAGGTATGTAATAAGCTTAGAAGCCTGTCTTAGAAAAAAGCAACAACAAAATGCTAAATTCTTCATCTAGAAACAATTTTATAGTATTTTATTTATGCTCAAGGCTGTTTTAAAATTATAGCTGGAACTCATTCCATGCTTAGATCCTACAAATCAAGCATCAGGGGAATTAAATATCGGCTTTCCAGGCCCCAAAGGCTAGCTGTGCCTACAAGTCATGTTTGGACCAAGTGAATTCCATGAAAATATATTGGGTTGTTTGATGCCAAATTTTAATGTTAATTTACAAGGTACTTTTCTCAGATTCCTGTGCCTGCAATGGACTTGTTTTGGCGTGCACTCATTGAATGGTGCTGCTCTGGTCTGAAAATCCTTTGACTGCTGTACCTTCGCTCCTGGAAGCCCTTCTCCTGGTGTACCTCTTTCTCCTTGAACTCCTTGTGGTCCTTGAGGCCCCTGTTAACACAAGTTTAAAATGACCTAGAATACGTATTAATCACTCAAATGAACAGCAGTGTGTTCTATGTCATTGTCAATTATAAGCACATGTTCAAATGTTGGTGTAGTGATATTCTGTTGAAAATAATACAGTAATACTCTATTCCCAGTGAATAAGTGATGAGCTTTCAGGCCTGCAGCAATAACAATATTTTTCTGGTTACCAATGAATCACAGGTTATGTAGCTGAAATTTCTATTCCTTGTACTTTTGAATCTTCACTCCCTAAACTTCTGTTTTAGAAATTCTTACTAATCCTTATTAATGCATCAGTATAATCATGAGAGATGGAGAACCAGATTAAAGCCCAGAATAGTGCTGAGGGAGACAAGGGTGTAGAGTTATTTGATTGTAATTGGCAGAGAGAGTAATAGCATGCCCTTCTCTTTTTGAAAGCAGATCTGGAAGGGCACAAGGAACAAATAAGACAACCAAAACATTTCACTAAATGCAAGTCCAAAATCTGTGCATATTTAGCCTGCTTCACTGTGTTTTCCAGCATCTGGGTTTTGTGTGTTTTTTTCTCTGATTTATTCCTTGAGGTGACACACACACCACAGAATGCTGGTAGATTTGGCTTTGCATAGCCTAAATACACTTCTGCACAGAGCTTTAGAATTATTCCTAGTTCTTAGGTAAAGATAATTACACTGCATTCAGCCATAAGAGAAACTTCTTCTGAAGCAAATAAATTTTAAAGTAAATTAAAGAAACATCCTTAGGATATTTTTTTAAAAAATCAATCTTTTGTTATAGCAGTACAGCTTTTGTGGTTAGCAAAGATTCACATCACAGGCACCTCTTCCCCCAAGAAGTGGTTCTTTGCTCTGTGGTGTTATTGAAGAGACTTTGCAAGCACTTTGACTGTCACCACTGGCCTGATTCATACTACTCTTTTCCTTGGGCTCTTCAGCAAGAACTTGCTCCTCTCCAGTAGTGTATTTTCAGCAGGGTTGAGATCAGTCAGTTCAGCTACCAAACAATCTTTCTCTTTTTCACGGGAGCACCTCTTTTGAAATTATTATTACAGATCTTTCCTTGTCACTGGGGAAAAGCTACTTGTGAAAAAAACTGGACAAACTTTCCCTCCTGGTTGCATTAGAAGTCTTTCATCCAGGTGATGGAAAATGCTGAACTGTATTTAAATCAGTAAAACGTGCTGCTTGCCATTTAGAAAAAAAAGACCATAAAATTTATGCTCTGATTTTCTGAATTACCACAAAGAGGTTGAGTTTACAACTACCAGCAGGAGGAACGGGAGGAAAAGAGGGAAGAGACTTCAGAGCCAAACCTACTATAAATTCTGAAGTTCTCCCCCTGAAAGCCATGCTGGTGTTAACGTTCTAGTGGTACTGAAAAGCAGTCAACTTTGAAGTTATCACTTAGGGATTTGAATCTGTCAGGCGACAGATTTTTTAAAGTATTTATGTGATTTTGCATAAGATGTTGGTTTTTTCATAGCTGCTTTGGAAGCAAAGATAATTAGAAAAGTTAATAAATTGGAAACATTTCCAGGTTATTGTGGGAAATGACAGTCAGACAATGTAGTATGTATGACAGTGAGAAACAGTGGAAGAAGGGAAAGAGATGGTATCATTTAACACACATTTTTACAGGGAAGCATAGAGAATTTTCCCTTTCTGTCCTGCTTCCTTCTCACCAAATAAAAGACAGACATACCATAAATCCTGGCTCACCAACTCCAGGTGGCCCAATGGGGCCTGGTCTTCCTGTCAAACCGGTGTCACCCTTCAAACAAAGACGTATTTTGAATATGCTTGATTTAGGTACTTTTATGTGTGCAGCATATAACTCATCAGGCATTCTGTGCTTGAAATACTAAATGTAGTAGAATACAGGAATGGCAGAGAAAATCTGAGTGTCCTCATAATCATCCAACATGCAAGGCCGAATAGACATTGAACTGGTGTAGTTTCACAGCATACATTTCTATGCATTTAAGAAAAGACAATGTTGAATCTAAACAGTTAATTATTCCCATCATATTCCCAGTCAAGAAATCAGTATTTCTATCATAGAGTTTTTGTTCTCTCTATGCCAGCCATCTAGACCAACAAGCCTGTTTTGCACAGAATAACTTCTGTTTAAGACTATGAATGTGTTTTTACTCAGCCATACTCTGCTTGGATTGAGTTATGTCAAGCATAACAGCTACTGTAAAAAAGTCCTTTAAAATACATACTTAAAATTTACTTCTTTTGTTCCAAACAGTTTTGATCAACATACAAAACACCTTTCCAGTACCACAAAAACAGCATTTAGGGATTTGAAGCTTCTCATGTATCACCAAGTCTGTTATCTCAGCTCTCTTGATCTTTGTTCTTATCCCACAGTACATGCAATACAGAAGATGAGAGATGCTTGTACCTTTGGGCCTGGCAGTCCTATTCCAGTCTCTCCAGGCAAGCCAGGTGGCCCAGGGAGACCTCTTTCACCCTTTCAAAGAATGGAAAAGAAACAATTCTGCTTACAAATTGGTGTCCAGGAGAATCAGTTTAACTCAGTTTGTGGGTTAACTTTTGTGTATCCTGAATTTCAGCCCATGGGAATTCTATTCCACAGTACTTCATCTGTTCAGTGCTTTCAATGCTTCAAAATTCCCTTGATTAAGAGCATAATTTACCCTATTCAAAGTGATAACAGATTAAATAAAAGGTAAAAATTTCATTTCATGTGGGATATAAAAGTTTTGACCCCCAACTGTTCTACGCACCACTGTTGACCAGCAGGTGCTCTACATATGGTGCAAAGATGACATCAAGAGACATAACAAATGATGTCTTTTATATACTTATTTTCAAGTTTTTCTCTACAAAAATATTCCTTTTTAGCTACAGAATTCTTCTTGAGAATGTACAGTTTCAAGGGAAAACTTGATTTGAGATGCCAAACAGAATTCCTGTTTGGCATTTAGGGAAAAAAAACTTATTAATTTAAAATCTGAAGAAATGCAATGCTGAGTAATATTCTGTGATGCCAGCATATTTTAACTGTTCATAAGTGTGGTTTGGAGTGTGATTTAGACCTGAATTCAATTCAAAGAGCAAATTAATACCTTTCTTAGGAACCTTGTAGAATACAAAAAATATCTGATTTGCTATCCGTGTCACATTAAATTCCATCTACTACAAGAAGGGTATAGAGTATAAAGATAAAATCATTACTGTTATGAGGCTATATTAATACCTTTTAGCATTAATAAAGAGAAGAAATAATGCCGTTCTTGCCTTTGATCCTTGCAGGCCTTCAGGCCCTTGATCTCCAGGTTGTCCTTGTGGACCCTGTTAAAACAGGAGTGGTTTTAATGAGATTTTTCATGCTTTCATAACAATGGCATCTTGAAAAACCAATCTGTAATTTGCTGTACTCTGCATGATAATAAGAATTTCAGACATTTCAGAACTGAAGCTTTGCTTTCTGATGCCTGTATAGATTGAGTACTCAGCTCAGTTGGAGCTGGGTCTGGTAATCAAGGGAGAGGATTTGGCTCTCCCTTTATTTGAATACAGTTAAAGGTAATCTACAGTCAAGATTTACTGAAACACCTATGATGGGCTAAGCTTCGTGGCCTTCAGTCCAAGAGTTTTGGGATGACAAGAGACAAATGAGTTTCTGTGTACTTCTTGAGATAGTGAAATAGTTAAGGCACTAAACAGGAAATGAGTGATTTTGTTTTTTATGGAACTGTATTTGCTGTAATCTTTGAGACCATGAATTATAAGGATGATTTATTTATCTAGACTGCTTTTCCAAATTCTTGTTAATTTTGCTATTTAAGAATATAGATTTTGGGTGCCTTGAACTCAGCAACTCAAAGATTCCATGACATTTGTGGTATGGTATTATTTCAGAGCTTTGAATTCAGAGAACTAGGAATAGTTTCTTTTTTTGTTTGTTTGGAGAGGTTTTTGTCTGTGTAAATGTTTGTAGGGTTTTTTTTACCTGTAGGCCTCTTATTCCTCTTTGGCCTACTGGACCTTCAGGACCCTAAAAGATAAGTGAAAAAAATGATATATTTATGTATATATAGATTTCATCAAAACCACTTTTAGATAACTTTTTACTAAGCTATCTTATTTAGATATCTTTACATTAAAATAAAAACTAAATTTAAGAGAAGCTCAGTAGCCAGAAAGTATTAAATATTTTTTAAATGGACTGGTAATCAAAATAGAGAGTAAAAATGAACAGAGTTTATTATCAAGGACTGGTAATCCAGGATTAAACTCTGGTTGTTTCATTTAAAATATTTACAGCAATTATACATTGAAAAGACTGAAGTTTGAAACATTAATTGCATTATTAGCTCTCTTTCCTTTTGCTTACTACTTCAAGCCTTCTGCCTCTGTTAAAGTAGAGTTTTACCATTGTTATAAACATGAAAATGTAGGAAGAGCTGAGGAGGTTACTGAAAATGGTGTCCTTGCTCACTTCATATTTTAAAACTGTCAGCTGTTAATTTCCCTCAGCCTTAGAATTCATATATGCCTTAAATCTCTCACCATGATTGTTATTCAGAGAATTGTAGTTGTTCTGTGATTTAACTGTGTTTTCTGAAAGCATAACAACTTTGTGGCTACTTACTCTGTCTCCTTTTATTCCTGGGATTCCACATTCACCTCTTTCACCCTGGAAAGGAATAGGAATAAATATTTATGAGGTATATTGGCATATCATCCTCATTCTCTGGGTGCTTTAGTTGAAAACCTAGCTGTTATTCTATTCATGACATATTATAGCAATTGTGTTTTAATTTCATTGAGGAAGAGTCCCATCTTCTATTACAGCTTGTGCAGCAGCTGCTAAGATGATGTTATTGTTCATTACTAGTATTTATAGGAAATATGGCACTATACATAATAAATAATTATAACATCAAATATGTAAGTATAAGATCTGACTAAAAGAAGTACCTTCTCTCCTTTATATCCAGATTTCCCCTGAAAAAAAATAAAGCAAAGCAGGTTGTGAAAATATATAATCTAAATGTAAGAGTGTGAGTATTGGCTCCATTAACATTCTACTCTCTCCGGAAAAACAGCATTTCAAGTAGAAAAGATGATCTCCGATAAGCACGGCAATATGATTTGAAGCACTGCGCTTGCTGGTCCTGGTAGAGGCTGTTGTATGAGTGAACAAATCTTATGAAAGAGTCATTTTTGACTGGGATTTTAGTGATGTAAAAGCAGATCAAGTAGAGCTCATATTTCCGTCTTAGTAAGAAACACGATAAAATAAGAAAGCAAGAAAAAAATCACCAATTAAAAAGGATATACTGAGTAAATTAGAAAACAAAGCAGAGTGATTCATATGTGAATGACTTCTGTATTAAGCACTAAGAGACTGGTCCTACAGTTAGTTCCTATGCATATTTCATTCAACTTTTTCATTGCTATTATACACATTGCTGTTATATATCTTTATTTGCCAAATGAGAAATTTAACCCAGAATGATGCAGGCAGAGAGTCGATTTCTGTAATGTTCTTAAATTAATGTATCAGAGCATTTCACGCTTTTTAGGAGGGACTATGGATTATCAGAGAGTATTTTCTAAATCACACTTACAAGAAGAAATTATTACTTTTCATTAAACAATGAGAATGTTTTCAGTTCTTCTTGTGTTAATGAATCTTCAGTTCGTAAACCAGAATTGAAATTTGCTGTTATAATTAAACAAAACAAAACAAAACAAAACAAAAGTGGTGTTTTGCCTTAAAGGAACACTGTTTATTGCACTGCTCATTGGAGAATAAGGGAAAAAAACTTTTTTACCTCTATTCCATCTCGTCCTGGGATTCCATTAAGACCTGGCTCCCCCTATGAACAATCCAAAATTAAGATCAGTGAAATAAGGGAAATCAGGATTGTCCTGATTGTCTGAGTAGATATCTCAATATCTACAGAGATGCAATAGAGAGAGCACACCAGCTTTTATGTGTTAGATATAAGCTTTTAATTTGTAAAGAATACTCATCTTTACAACAGCAAAAGGGGGTAAATGAAGTTTAAGAAATTCACAGGTGGAAAGGACATAGGCAATGTTAGGATAATCTTTCCATATTAATAAAGGACCAAATCTTTCTCCTAAATCTGAAAAATCACCTTTGCTCCTTTCAGGCCTGGAGCTCCGTCGTCCCCAGTGCGACCCTTTTTACCCTGGAAACAAAATAAGATTCTTATAATATATGTTGGTAAAATAATTTTGTTTTACAATATATATGCTATTTTTTTGTATTTAGGATATTTGCTTCCAATAGATTTTTAAAAATCTCTGTATTTACCATAACCTTGAAATTGAATTTCTGGGAACAGCAGGACCAACTCAACAGGCAGCCATTTTTCTCTTTTGTCTTTGTTGTAAACAAAAATTGTTCAGATCTCCTCTGAAGAAAAAAGGGGATTAGATGTTTTTGTAGCTACCCAGCTTGCTAAGTGGGTGTTTTGTTTTCTTCTGAACCCTTTGAGCTGTATGCTTCTGTGTAAGAGGTACCTGCACTCTCCAACTAAAGAAAGCAAATAATAACCCAAACAAAACTACTGTTTACACATAGTAGAGGCTACATTTGCAATTTAAATGTGCTTTACTCTGCAGCATAAAACCAGTATGTATTTCTGTTTATGTATGTACAGGATGTTCAGGTGAAAAGGATGAGGGTGGGCAAATCTAGGGTTCTTTTCAAACTCTGACACTGTCCCTTCACCTTGAGCAAGGGCTGTAAGGTACTCTGGTGCTTTAGTTCAATGTTAGGGATATAATATCAGATCACTCAGTTATTTTTGAGATACAAACCCTGCAGTTTAGGTCACTAAACCTTGTATGAAGCAATCCCCTAGATTTGCTTAGGGGTTCTATTTGTAAGACTATTCTGAAAGAAATCTAGCCCATCTTACCCTTTTTACAAGTCTCTTGTCTCAGTTGCCATTCACTTAATGGCTCTCTCTCTTGCTTTCAGAGAACTTTTTGGATATTAATGTTTGATTTGGGGCTCGTTAGATCCAGCTGCTCTTGTCTGATTGCAACAGGTGAGTTATTGTTCCACACAGGAAAGTCGTTCCTTTCTGCCTCTTATACTGCTGTGGCTAAAAGCAGAGCCTCACCACACCACACTGTTCTTTTCTCAGAGGGAGTGTCCCATGGCATTCTCAGGTCTCTCTCTACATTTCCTACTAGTGTGACATTTCCTACTAGCGTGACATTTCCATGCAATTTAACTATGGAGGACTACATATTGAACCTTGAACTTTTGCTTTCTCAGGATTTGGGTTCACATAATTTCTTTTAAAAATTCCAACAATTAGTAAATCTTGATTTATACTCTATATCAGTTATTTGAGAAATGACAGCTACTTACAGCAGGGCCAGGAAGGCCTCTTTCTCCCTTCTCACAGTTACATGTGGCAACCTGGGGACACTTTGAATGAAAATAGTAGAAATCACCATATTTTAACAGAAGAGATAGAAAACACACGGGCATCTCCCTTAAGTTACTGTATGGCTAGTCTGAGTACACCAGTAATGACCAGAAATTATATTTACATGTTTTACAGAAATCTTTTAATTGTCAGTGAACACTCATCCAGACTGTGGCCTCCTACATTCCATCCAAAAATTTGTATCATTCCCATTCCTGAAATTTCAGTCATTTCAATAATGGCTTTACCTCCAAAGTCTTCACAAGGTCAGTTCATAAGTAATCTGTGTCTGTTTTGATTTGTTTTGATTACTAAGTACTGTAGAGATAGCCAAGACAATGGGGTAAGAAAACATCTTACATTCCTTTTCTGTTTAACTCCACTATACGTAGAATAGATCATAGTTTAGCTCTATAAACAAATACATATATATATAAACATATACATGTATGGATGTATACTTTTATTTAGTTAATGCAATTCATTATAACATTTTATAATCTTTCTTTCTTTTCTGTCATCTCTACCATCATGTGTCCCAGTCATGTATTCCTGTGATTTTTAAGATATTTCTGAAATTTAAAAAGCATTACATAATACAGAATTATTACAGATACTGGAGTTATTTTGGAAGGAGAGATAAAGAATGTTGTTTTTATTTTTGGTTTAGTTATTTATTAAGCCTCCACTCATCTTGGAGATGTCTAGAAGTGAAGGGTTTAAATATAATTCTTGTCTGAATATCCCAAACAATATGCTTTCCAAGGCTAACATTGAATGTCACTGACAGAGAAAAATTAAGGTGTCAGAGGAAATGAGTGAAAAATAAAATGTTTCAAGAGAACACTCATAATATTTAGCAGTTTGCTTGAGCCGCTCATGAGAAGAGTTTTTGTCTGAGATAACTGTACCTTAAATAGCACTAGCATCTTTAAAAGGAAAGCTAACTTTATTCCCCTCAAAATGCCAGCCAGACCTACTAAAGCCTGCAGTCAGGGTGACACAGTGTGGACAAACTGGTAAAATGCAGTGGTGGAGCTTTGAGTTCTCCTATTTTAAACTCTATTACATAGGAAGAGGATTAAGGGCTAGAAGTACACTACATTCAGCTGTGTCTCATGTTTTCTTTTCCACTGAGTCTGTTAGATGAAATGCCAAGATGTTAACCTGAATACTAACATATCGTTCTTTTTTAACTTGGAAAATTCATTAGGATAGCAAATTACATCGGTAATGTGTAAATTAGTGATTAGTAAATACATTAGTAAATTACATTAGGGTAGCAAATTAAAGTTCTGTCCTGCAAATACAAAAACATTTAACTTGAAGGCAATCCCATTAGACTCAGTACTTAACGAACTTCCTGAGCTATCACTTTTCTTGAATTATGTTACCATATAATTGTGAATATCTATATTAAGCAGTAGTTCTGTATGGGAAGAGAAAAAGTACTTACCCCTTCCTCAGACAGATCTTTCTGTAAAAGACAGATATTGAAAACAACATTAGAAACTTAGAGTCATAATCCAGCTTTACAGAAAGTACACTGAAAGATGTGAAAACAAATTGCTTCAGCAACTAGTTAATTAAATTATTCGATTACATAATGACTAACATTAATTAAACTTTAATTTCTGGGAAACATTCTAGCAATCTCTTCATTCTAAAAAATAATTTCAATATTTTAAATTCTTGTTATAAATTGTTGACTGAAATCACTGACTCTCTTTGTCCAGCCATAATTTACTAAAATTACAGTGATAAACAGGTTAGCTAGGTATATGGGAACAGTGCACTCACAAACTACATTGTTTCCAAAGTGCCAAATAGCAGCAGTTCTCTCGTAGGAGTGGAGGATATGTACTCTACACTTGAGAAAATCAGCAGCTCTTCCATTGATACTCTTAGGTGCACACAACATGAGAACAGTAAGAACACCTTAGAAAAGATTTGACTTTGACAGTGATCACATTAGTTATCATCATTGGGTTAGCTGTTATTTTTTAGAAGATCTCCAGAGAAACACCCAGTCCTCCAACTTTTCACAACTAATGTAGTCTCTTGAGAGAACATAAATGTGTTGATATGCAGCAATGGAATACAGGTCTCAAAAATTCTCATGCATGCCCATGTAATTCTGACAAAGCCATTATTTAAACCAAACTTCTCAAAAGAAGGCACCTGAGGATGCCTGCCTGTTTGGAAGAGGTAACATAAAATGTGTTTATTCACTTGAGAGGTGGTTGCTGTGACACAGAAAGCAGTGGTAGTACCAGAGAGGATGGGAAGGGTGATGTGCAGTGAAACCAATGCAAAGGCACAGGCTGTCAAAGTGAAGGGCAGGCAGGCAGGAAAACCAGCTTAGCTGCCTGCTCTAGGCCTCTGTGAGAGCACTTAGGGGTCCGTTTCACTGCAGGAGTCTCCTGGGTGTTATTCATATTTCTAGTTTATATCTCTGTGCATGCTCAGAACAGGACTCCATCCACTGCTTGTGGCACCAGGGTTATTGGCTAGACTATGGCTCTGTTTTCCATACTTGGCAGAAAATGGCTTTTATAAATGAAGTCTAAATAGAGAAGAAAGGCATACAAACAAAACTTCAATCTCAATTTGCTTATCTCCTCTTCATTATGTGGTAGGTTTTCCATGGAAATTTAAAGATGGCTATCACCAAGTTCAGATTTTATCTAAATTGAGCTATCTCCATGGTCTACAAATTTATTTTCGCTTCTGTGAGAGTTGTATCTTTTTCTGATACAAAAGGCAGTGTCATTTTCCTACTTACTACAGAAGAAAGCCCCAGGATGTAAAAAAACTTGACTGCTTTTTTTAAGAAAGGAGGTTTGAAATACCTTGCTTAGGAGGAAAACAGAGATAAAAATAATGTCACAACAGCTCTCTTTAAATCTAATTCAGTTTCCAAAATCAAGTATTTTGGCTGACAAGGTCTGAATGGTGGGGAGAGAAACAAAACCTGTGCTTTGGCACAGTGATCTTATTAAGTGGGCCACTTTAACATGTAAAAAGTACAGGTTTCTTGAATAGCATAAACATTTCAAAATATTGGAAATAAGAAAATTTTTACATATGTTCCTAAAACTATTTCAATTTCTTTCTAATACATACCATTTCTTTGAGAACCTTCTCCACAGTTTCTTTCTCTTGGAGGTTGAAAACAAACCTGGATGCTGGGACACTGGCCAGGAGCCGGAGCTTGGCAGCATTGCTAATTTCCTCAGCCATTCTGGTCATTCCCATTATGAAAAATATAATTCCGTGGTGTTTAGCATCAGCTGTAGCTGCAAAAATATCTGGGTTTCTTGGATGGTCCACTCCATCGGTGAAAAGCACGGCTACTTTCACACTACCTGAAGTGCCTTCAGTCATGTAGAGTTGTGTAAGATTAGTTATAGCATAAGTTGTGTAGGTGCCATGACCTATGTAGGTGATGGGAGCAATGTGGGATTTGAATGCTTCAGGACCTTTCCAGTCATGAAAGGTTTGCTCTATGGAAACAGTGCTGCTGTACTGAAGTAAGGCCATTCTCCAGCTAAGGGTACGTCCAGAACTAAGCTGTAGTCTTTTCATTCTGTCTACTGTTTGCAGTACAAATTTTTTCTGCTGTTCATGATTATAGTCCTTAGCATTTTCAGAGCTGTCCAGTAAAAAAGAAATTTCCAGAATGCAGTCTTCATCTAGAATAAATAGGTATGTAGGTGAGTGGAGTGACTTCATACTAAATGTCATCTACCCTTACATGTATTTTAGGTTTCTAAAGTGGGAGTGCAATTATAGAAAGTTTTGACAATATCCGTGATCACAAGTGTGAGCCCTTCATGAAAACAGAGCATATAGAGGCTGAGGAATTTGCTCCAGAACAGATGCCCCAAGGAATAAAAAACTGAAGGTGAGTTGATGTCATGAATTATGAAATGAGGAATATTGTAGTGGTTTTTGACTTTCATTCTGTCCTCTTGCCTGGTATTTCATTGAATATCCTACCAGCATGAGGACTGGGAAGGTGGGAGTTGTATACAGGAAAATGATACTTACTGAATAAGACACTGGAATGTGCTTTGACAGAGCTGGATTTTGTCCCTGGTACTGACACTCACATTCAGTGACATAAAAATTTCCAAAAGCAGGATCTGTAGCACATTACTTTTCTGAATGACTGATGACATTACTTCTATAAAAATACAGTTCTATGGCTATTATTATTCTTGTGACAGTAAGAGGCTATCGGCCATATCATAAAAAACACAGAAGTGATCTCCTTTTCTGAAGTACACAAAAGGGGAGGGAAAAGATGGGAGTAAAAAGAAAGAAGTGCAAAAATAAGGCATGTGCAAATGTAGGATGAGGCAAACCTGGCTGATTATGAACAGTACCATAGATGGCAAATTAGCCATATAGCACAGAATGCAAATAAATCAGGGTAAAAGACCCCACACCAGTTTTAAAATTACAATATTCACCTTGATCACTTGGGCTGGGATATTTCTTTACAGTATTTGACATAATGTGTTCAGGTTTTGATCTTTTCAGTCCATATCTTCTTTCTTCCCTGAGATTTTCTGCTAAAGTCTCATGGTGTTCAAGTATCCACAAAAGCCAGGAGAATCTGAGAAACATCATTTGTTTGGTTTCTGTTTCCTAAACAACACAAATAATAATACAGAAGTACAGCAGTACAAGGACAATAAAACATTATTAAATTTTGATTCAACAGGTTGCTTAGTAGTCTGTATTTTAAACTATAGTCCCTAAGAACAAGCTGATTTTAATTTCTTTGGGTGAAATCTTCTCAAAAGCATGTAATAAATAATAAACAGACATACTGGAGTGATTTTCAAGCATAGTGCATATAGTTCTGGCACTCAACAAACTGGAGATAGACATTTTACAAACACACTTCAGTTCTCTCTCACTGCCTGGTGGTGTTTGTACAACTAGAAGTTCTCAGAAACCTTAGTTGTGGCTGTACCCATGTGGATGCACTATAAACACAAACTGTAATTCACAGGGGTGTTTTTTATAAACCTGCTTTTTCTAGAGGAAAAACGTGGAGAGAAGGAGGTACAAAGGCAAAGCTGAGTTTTTCCCTGTTCTCTTTACTTAACAACTGAGGGTCATGCATATGTCTCCTTGCTATCACAGCCCCCCTGGCCTCACCAGTCCTACAGAGGAACAGTCATGGCCTGAGGATCTGTAAAGGCATGAATGTACCTGCTGTGCATCCCTGGGGACATGGCGTCCCAGAGTGCTGAGCCCAGGCTCCACAGCTGCCTATTGCTAGGACTTCTTCCTTCTGCAGGGACCAGAGCTGTTTGTCCTGGTCTCACAGAGACACCTGGAGCAGCTCACAGTCTGCTCAGGGACTGACAAGTCAGTCCTGCCCCACTTCGGTTTCACTGTCACCTCCCTGCAAACTCCCCCCAGGTAGCCACAGTGCATACCCAAAGGGCAGCTCAGCAGCAAGAATGAACCTGCCAGGATTGAGCTTCTCACATAAATTACTAACACAGCCATGTCTGCAGGATTTCTTTGGCTCCTGATAGTTTAGGGCAGGAATTCTTTCGCCCACAGACACAGAAAGGATGAGAGTCCTTACCTCAATGTTCCTAAGCAAATGGCTCTGCAGAGATGCAGGATGCTGACCTGGGCTCGCTGGCAGCTGCGGTGCCCTCCCCTTGCTGGATGCTCTGTGAGGAAAGGAGGGAGAAGTTGGGCTGCAAGCTCCTGTGAGAATCGGTGTCATATATCAGGAGGGACCAGCAGACAAAGGCAAGGAGAAAGGCAAAGAAGAGTAATCGTGGATCCCCCTTCTCTGCACCCACCCACTCCTCTCCTCCTCCCCAGGCTTTGCATATGCATCCGAGGTTTATTCTCCCACAGCCATTTCCACAGGAACATGTACAGAAGAGGACTATTCTCACCCTAACACACTTCCCTACACACCAATGCAGTTCTGTTCATTCTCCTCTCCCATAACTACCACACACCTTTCACCCTCATACCTCTGCACATCTGCCATGTCTTGGCAAGGCAGCTTTTCGTACTGGGCATCATGTTTTCAACATCATCTTAGCAGTTTGTGTCTGTAGGATCCCTTTCAAACCTGAATGAATATCCTCATAATGAGGGATTCCTGCTAACTGCTGTAGCAAAAAGATATTTACTGTCCCATGGACTTAGCAAATTGAAATTTCAGTTCCTGGTGAAATTGCCCAGCATGAGATGGTCAAAAAAGGCAGACCAGTCTGAAATCCAGTTTCAGACTACAGTTTCTCCAGGTTTGTCTGTCACATCTGTCCTTTCGAAGACTGTAATAGGGAACAAAGACTGACACATAGTATGATGCCTTCAAAACTTAAGCTGAGTGGCTAAGGATCTGGAAGACTATCTCTTTTACCAGTAGTTGCATCTTGTCACCTAATTCTTCAAATATCCTCAGAAAGCTTTACATAATGAATTAATATATTAAACAAGTAGCTCTTTTTCACACAAATGCCTTTTTTCTTTTCTTGTGGACTCATCATTTTTCATCTACAGGCACACGAAGAGGACCCAGTGCTAACTGCTGTCCTTTCCATCTTAAGTGTCCACCAGCTCAGCCCACTTATCACAGTCACAGCCAAGGTAGCTGAGGGGAGTGTGGGGAAAGGATACAGCGTTGGTTCCAATTTAGATAGGTGAGAGGGACTGGTAGGACAATGCAGCTGGATGCTGAAGCCATTTGCTGTGGTTCTAACCCTGTTTTCTATTTTCCATCTTTGCTAGTAATTAGTGCTAAATTGGTGAACTAGGATGGCTGAATGCAACTCTACATATTGTATGACTGCTGATCCTTACCTAAGCTGAAACTAGCTCAGCTACAGCTACTTGTGCTATAGTTACAGCTAAGAAAGAATCTTCCTTCAAGGCTGGAAAGAATTGATGTTTATTCTGTTGAACCACTTTTATTTTTCTGTCCTTACACTGTCATATTAAGATTTTGATTAAGACAAGGAATGAAAAGGCAATTTCTTGCCCTTTGGGGAATACAAATAATATGGTGTTTAACTGAAATAGGTATAATAAATCTCCCATAGCCCCTAAATCTTACCGAGGAAAAAAAAATCTAATTTCAGCAAGAAAAAGCATGTTATCTATGGCTGGGATTGTATGCCTCCAAAAAGCAAAACATTGTCATTCTTTCATTTTCACTCCTAATTCCTACCTTAAAACATAGCTGGCAAATAATTTTGTAATTAAGTAACTATTCTTGTATGTTTAGTAGCAAGATCTTGGCTTCAGGATATTTCCTCTTATTAATGAGTAATGCTTACCTTCAGGACAAATTTTTCTCTTTTTTTTTTCTTGGCCAGGTGCAACTTTAAAAGTTTAGTGAGGCCTCCACATTTTTATACCTGTTTGCGTGGGATACATGATGTTATTCTATCCAGAATTCCAAGTATGTGACATAACACACAGCACACTTCTAGACTTGCAGTCCTCTGAAGTTGTGATGTTCTCAATAACTGCACTGTTCTTATAGTGACAGTTTATCAAAACCTAGATGATACCAATGTAAAATATATATGCATTGATGCATCTGAGATAACTCTTAAAAATAACAGCAAACTTTCTTGCCTCATTTACAGCAAACTTTACCAAGTGCTTATTTAATATTTTAATGGCTTTACACTGTATTTTTAACGTAGAATAGATGCCTTAGAAGGTATGGTTAGGAACATTCATGCTGTAGTTTAAATGTTATAAATTTACTGCTGGAATTCAATTTTTTTTGTAAAGGAGTAAAAAAAGTATTTTATTTTAAGGAATCTAGACATTGTATACTTCAGCACACAATTTACATTTCCATTCAACTAATATTTAAACATACTTAAGTATCTTTGCTGTCCCTGGGAGATGACACTACAGGTTTCTGTACTTACTTAACTAAGTTGGGCCCAGCTACCCTAGCTCATATATGCTTCCAACATGACAGTAGTTGGCATTAAGACTGGTAATCTTTGCAGGAATCAAAGACTGAAATGAATATAAAGGCTATGTTACAGTTGCCCCAACTGAAGCTGAGGTCACAGATGTTGCTGCATATTCAGATCTTTGCATTTTTTCCATCACTGTTTGAAATCCAAGAGTTCTCAGCTGTCTGATCTCAGTATTTCAGTCAGAGAAATCAGATCTAGTGTTCTTTTCAAAGAATAAAGGGGTATATGAGAGCTGTTTAAAACCACATCTAAATAGGCTATACTCAGTCAAAGGGAATTCCTTATCATTTTAGAGTCATGAGGAGAGGTATCCTGAAGAAAGATCTGCAAGATCTCTTTGCAAGTGAGTGTGTTTAAGCACTACTAAGAAAGGAAACAAAGGTGATATTTACACCCCTTTGTCAGTGCCATTACCATTACATAGGTGGTGACAGCTTCAGAGCTACATGAGGTTGCAAGGTCACTTTGAAGGGACACTGAGTGAAGAACTGGGGCTTAGATGCCAGTTGCTGTGGTGTAGCATGACCTCTTGAGTCAGCAACAGCCCTCACTATCACTTCCCAATGGCCAGAAGTAGCAGCAAGCCTGACTGTTCCAAACTTCTTTCCTGGTGCTCTCTTTGTCTGTCCCTCCCCTCTGTATATGAGTATCTCTCCTACAGCCTCGTCTGGCTCAACTGTGACCTCTTCATCGACTGTTCAGCAAAATTCAGTATATCATTGAGAAGCCTTGAGTAATTTCTCTTAAGATGGATTAACTAGTCTCTTCTAGCATGATATCATGTCACTAGAATGTGAGAGAGCCCTGACTACTCCTTCAGCTGTCCAACAAATCTACAACAGCACTGGAGATGGAGTAATCACGTTTTGCATAGCTAGCAAAATACCATCTGAATATTTCTCTATGCTAAAGCAATACAGAACCACCAAGGAGGCCAGTTTGTGGGAGCAGCATTAAGCAGACAGACCATGCCTTCAATTTTCCTCTGCTCTGATGGTAATTTTTTGGTCCCAAATAGCTTGACATGGTGCTCCTGAAATGTATTTGCATTTTTTTTGCCACCTCAGTGTGAATAATTCACATATCAAGTCTGCTGTGAACTGTTAAAAATGTGCACATTTCACACAAGCTTCTTCTAGTGTTTCATGGCCTCAAGATAGTCTTGACCATTTAACCTGACTGCATCATGGTGTAATGGTATTTCAAGAGTATTTATTTCATTATACTATACATGTCAGTACATGACCAAAGTGCCCAGAAGAAACAAAAACCTACCTGACTCGAACTCATAAAATAATGAAAGCACACCATTTACAATATTTTGAATCCTGATATTAATGAGCAATGTTATAAAGAATGTGGTTCACATGTAAGTTGTATCACATGTGTGAGTTTTAGGAAAAACAGTTCAAAAGTTCAAATACTCAAAGTAATCGAACAAGAAAATTTAAAACCATCAAAACTTAACTTCACTCGGGATTGTATCTGAAGAAGGATAAAATAAAATAAAAACCTGTATTTCACCTTTTGATTGCAAAATGTATTCCAGTGAACTTGACAGGATTCAGGCTGGATAGTTTGCTAAGTATGGTAAGTCTTGACAAGGTGACTTCTGTTTGTCAACTGTTGAGGCTACAG